ACACTGTAAACCCGAATTATTTATTATGGAATATTGATAAAATATATATAAAAAAAAAAAAAAAAAAGATTTAAATTAACAAAGGAAAATTTTTTTCAAATAAGAATTTATATTGGGATCACATATAAATATATAAGATACATATAAAAAAAAAAAAAATAAAAGATAAAAGGTTAAATGGTTTATAATCCAATGATACAACCATCCCTTTTTTAAACTAATCTATTTATAAAACACCAATTCAAAGTTAGTCATATATAATATCGTCATAGAATTTATTTTGGGATGTGGAACATCATCACATTCATCTCAAACAAGTAAATATATACTTTCATTAAACTAAAAACAATCACAATATATTATGAGAAATTGTTAGAACCATACTTTAGTAATATGAGGGAGTTATTCAAGAAATCATATTATTTATGAGGGGCGCACACGAATCAAAGGGGAATAGCGTGATGCGGGCGCAAAGCTCCCATTACCGTTTTTCGCTTTTCAAGATGGATTCATGGAAGTTACACACACAAAAAAAATTATATTAAATTAATTTCTACAATTGTAACCATTATTATGTATGTTATGTTATTCGCAACAGGTAGTGACTGGTGAATTTTAAATAACTTTGGTAGGGACGATTTCAAAGTTTTTGCTAAGACCAAACAAATCCTCGTTCGTGCGGACCATTTCTTTTGAAATCGGAACACCAGATGCAATGGGCACGATGCAGAAGCAGGCGAGAAAATGAAATAGCGCAGGCACTTACCCAAAGCTAAAATGTTTATGATGGTTTCTTATTATTAGAGGGGATGAATTTGGCAATCCTAATTTTCGTTGTTGTTTTTATTCCAAACATGTGTTCATGATGCAAAACGACAGGTCAAAAAGGAGTGCGAGCTTTTTCTTTTTTTTTTTTTGCCTTTTTTTTTTATTTTTTTTTTTTTTTGAACCTTTAATTTTTTCCCACAAAGTTTTTGAAACGAGACCGTACATGAACCACCTGAACTCATTACCATAAACTATCCCTGAATAAACACAAATTAATAAATAACTAGATTGCAGAATCCCATCCCATCCACAATCCGTCTGACCGTTCGTTTCTCGACTTTTATTTCTTACTTTTTATCCAATCTCATCTATTTTTTGCTCATCGGTGAGACAGATTAGTATTTATCCGTTTAATGAAAACTCAAAAAAAAAAAAATAAAATAAAAAAATAAACATATATATATATTATCTAACGAGAAGAAAAATGCGAAAAGAAAAAAAAAAAACATCTGTTGTGTCGCGCGATACTTGTTCTATCAAAGTGTGGGGAAATCAATTCATCTATCGTTATTTTTTTTATTCACTACACTCTTTTTTTTTTTTTTTTTTAAAAAAAATTCCATCAACCTCAATCATTACCTTACTTTTCGTACGCAAAACATAACTGCAACCAGTTGATCTAATAAGTTTCTTTTCAGTCTTAATAAAAAAAAAAATTTTTTTTTTTCGTATCTTTACGGTATCTTTACACCATTTCACTGGGCTGTGTGAATATTTCCTAACATTATTTCTCACCATTAAGGAGCAAAAGAAAAAAAAAAACTAGTTCATTACGACAAGGACTAAGTTTTTTTTTGTGTTTAGGTGATTTGCATGATAAGATCTTATCAATTATTTTTCTTTTTTTTTTTCAAATTCCTTCTGATCAAACAACCGTTTAAAAAAAATTCAACTAGCTTTTTTTAGAAAAAGAATAAAATGAAAGCACCTTTTTTTTTTTTAAAAAAAAAAAATAAAAAAAACAAACAAACCAGCGAAAGAACGTGAATTGAATAATGTGATTTTTTATATTTTACGGAATTGCAACGGAAGTTGCCGCAGGCTCACAATTAGCAAAAACCTTTTTACTTTTCCAAAAGGCCATCTCATGAAAAATCCATTGTCTCATCTTGTGAAAAAAAAAAAAAAGATTAGGCTCAAAGGTTATATAAGCCATAAAAGTTTTCTTTCATTTACTCTTTTTTTTTTTATTATTGAAAGATATTTATTATAGTATACAATTTGGATAGATGCATTCCTCATCCTTTTGCTTTGATGTTGCATAATTTTTTTTTTTTTGTTAAAAAAGAGAAAAAAGTACAATGGTCAGACAGATACATTAATTTCACCAAGAATGGAATATTTCACAAAAAAGCCCAAAAGAATGGGAAAAGAAGGAGGTATTATCATAATTTATTCATTGATTGTGATTAATTCAACCATTCGGAAAAATTCAGAAGCTGTGCCATCATGGACTTCTTGTTGACATCATCATCATTGAAGAAATCATTGTTCGAGATAAACGAACGGGACATCCGTTCGGCGCCTCCTTACAAAGATAATTCGCGCGAGGTATTAGCTCCATTGTAATTTGGTGCATCCTCATGTGGTGCACCAAATTCTTTTTTAATTGACGCCACTCGGGTACAACATACCATATCTTTCAGGGCAATCCGTTGCGCTAAAAGATTCCTCCCTTCAAATCTCATCAATGGATTGTTTCGGTTACATACTACTATGACGGCCGATTTCCAATTTTTTTTTTTTTCTTTTTTTTTGACTAATAAAAATTAAAAAAAAAATAAAAAAAATAAATTATTGATTTTATTACTTTTTAGTATTACTAGATTAAGCTGTTACATATCGGCGGTTCCAAACCGTGTTCCAAATATTTGTATATTAACAAACCAGCACAGTTTTGTTTTTTCCTTGAACGCGAAATCTTCTTTACCCCACAAAAAATAAAATAAAACATCTCAACCTTCTCATTCAAAAGGGCATAAAGGAGAAATCGACCTTATGAAAAATTCCCGCCAACATTTCCTTTTATGAGAGTTGAATCAAGGAAAAAAAAAAAAAAAACATGAAAGGTGGTCGTGTGCTCTTTGTTTTGACGATTGTCATCTCGTAAAATTTTTTTTTTTTCCCTTTCTTTCATCGGGGGAGAATGAAAGGAATAAAATTGGATTGTTCTTTCCTCCCCACAAATTTTAACTTTAAAAAAAAAAAAAAAACAATATTAACCATTAACAATATAAATAGTTTATTTAAAAAAGTACAATATGTCTTTGACAAATAATAAACAAATAATAAAGTAAACATAGTTTCTTTGTTTGTATGACAGAATACAGTGAGAGCTTATCCATCACACACCTTTCACCCATAGCATACATGGATCGTCATCAATGAAAAAATGGGAGATAAAGAAAAATAAAAAAATAAAAATAATGGTGTTATTAAAGGAGATGAGAAAGGAAAGGTAAGAAGAATATTTTTTTGATTTCAAAAGGAAGGTTATTTGTTTGGAAAAAAAAAAATTCCTTTTCCACTTCCATTGAATCGAAATTAAGAAAAAAGAATAAAAGAATTTTTTTATGCTTAAAATTCTCCTACATTACAACAAATAAATCTGTCATTCTGATTGGTACATGTCTATTCTTTCTTTCTCCTACAAAACTCATTTATTTTTTTTTTGGCGTTTTTTTTTTTTTTTAATAATACAAAATTGTACAATGTTGGAAATTTTCCAATATGGGAAAATAAAATTTTCATTCTAGCCCGTTTGCCAAAGAGTAAAGGTTGAAAGCCCATCCTTTTTTCTCTCTCTCTCTCTTCTCTCTTCATCTTTAAAATTTTCATTCTGAGGTCGATCCCTTTCATAAAAAAATTTTTTTTTTTTAGAAATCTGTTTTTTTTTCCATTTTTTTACGCCTCGTGTACATAGAAAAAGGGATTTAAATTGTGAGACCCTATTTTTAGTTTTTTTTTTTTTATTTTGTCATAAACTTGTCATAATTTGCAATGTCATACAGCAAAAATTTATCCGACATAAATTAAAAAAGAAAAAGAAATAATGTCGATACACGTATCATCATCAAATGTTTGAGTGTCACGTTCTGTATCACCAAAATCACACATATCTCGAACAAAAAAAAACAGAAAACCCCAAATATTTACTAATTAGATGTTTAACCAACAACATCTGTTCTACCTAATTGGCCTTTCCCAAATACTTCCCATTTTAAGACGTGTGTGTTTGATCCGCGCCCAAACCCGCCAGTTACGGTTACACACGGACAATATATATCATTTGTTTTTTTTGGCGCGAAAAATTGTAATGAATTATTTTTGAATTTTTAATATCCTTAATGTATGCTAAATTGCCTCATTAGTCCATTTCCTTTGAATGAAGTTGAAATGGGTTATCCTTTTTTAAAAAGGTTATCGGTAATTATTTTGGTTCAAATTTTTTCAAACAATCGGGTCACGCAATAAAAATATTTGGTATTGTAAAAAAGTAAAACAAAAAATAAAATAAAATAAAAAAATAAATAACAGATAAAATCATAAGATCAAAAAATCAAAAAAAAAATTTTTTTCGAGATTTTTTTTTTTTATTCCTTTAGACCCTATCGGGCTGGGTTTGGGATTAAATTAATTTTTTTTTTTAGATTTAGCACGTGAAAGGTATATTATAAAAAATTAATAAAAAAAAAAAAAAATAAATATTTAATTAATTCCTTTTACAAATTTCTTGTGTATGAGAGGGGAAATAACTTTCTTTACTAAAAAAAAAAAAAATTTACCTAAAGAAAGAAAAGAAGATTTTCTGATTGGATCATACGATAAAATGTATCATCAACTTTGGTATCATTGGAATATTTTTACCCAAAATGTATAATAATGTGTTAAAATTCTTTTTTTCTTTTTTCTTTTTTGATATAAAAAGAAATTGATTTGCAAATATTACACATCTTGCCATTTTCTCTAACAAGTATGACAACAATATTATTTCAAATGCAGAAAATTTCTATTCTACTCAGGTGATTTACCAATAATCAAAGTTGTGTAAATTATAAAGTATGACAAACAAATGATTACATTTTATTTTTATGGATCACATGATCTTTACACACAGAAAACGTTTTATTTCAAAACCGAGATTTATTTCAATTCTCTCTAAAATTTATTTATTATCGTTGTTGATCGGATTGAACAACCGTCTGCTCACTACATGCTAATAATGTCTGTATTTGAAATTGCAATTTATAAGTTTGATCTAATAAATTGGTTAAATGAGTTTCCTGAGTTTCCGATTCCTAATTGATTCAGCAAAAAAAAAAAAAAAAAGCTTGTTAAATTAAGAAAAGGATGATTAATGTGCGGTGATTTACATCGTAATTTTAAAAAATAAAAGTAGACCTGTAAGAGTGAATCGCGAGTTTCAACCAATTTATTCAGTGCCGATAATGGTTGTGATGATGTTGAACCTTGAGCTCTAGCCTTTGATCAATAAAAAAAAAAAAATTAATAAACTCACGCGTGCGATCTCTCACGTGAATGATAGATCCATTTTTACCTCCTCTCGACTCTTCTTCTTTTTTTCTTCAAGTTCCACGATATTATCGAAATATCCTTTCAATTCTTTTTCAACCTTTTGATAATTCTCATAACATTTTGTAACTTTTATACGCTTTTCCTCTTCGGTTTTATCTGAAATGGTTCGAGAATATTCTAACAATGACTTGAACAATTCTCCTGACGTCTCTATTAACGTTTCTAGTCTAGTCAAACTTGTTATGGCTAATGATTCTAACGGTGTTGATACTGTTGTGGGTAATTTTAATGTTTTTGAAAGGTATGATGGGTTTGATGCAAAAGATGAAAATTCATCATCAGTCATAGTAACTTTCGCTTCGAGTGCACATGCAAGTAAAAGACAATGAGATTCAATACGTATGTCAAAATGAATACGAAAAGGTAAAAATATAAATAGTTAAGGTGTAAATTTGGATAATACCGTGTAAGTATCAATGTAATTATAACCGAGAATATATAAACTTCAATTAAGAAAAATTCAAAAAATGAGAAAAACATAAATTTTCGACACGAGAAAAAAAAAAAAAAAGAAAGAGGTTGACACGTATCAAAATAAAAAATTCGAATCGGAAATTTCGCTAAGCCACTTTATGCGTGATCATAAGATTATCATAAGATAATAGAAATATATATTTATCTAGGATAAAGAAAATTAAAAATAGGTCAAAGTTACTAAAAAAACGCGTCAAATTAAACCTTTTTAATTTAATAAACGTCAGATAGTTAAGTTGTAAAATAATTTATTTTTATTATTTTATTTTTATTTTGAATTTTTATCTTATATTATTTATCTGAAAGGGTTGGATTTTATTCAACTTTAGGTTTCTTATGGACGTAAGGTACTTTAAATATAATGATTACGAATATAATTAATACGGCCAAAGAACCTGATGCGTAACACATTTCAGAACCTGCCATCCAATATAATCCACAAGCAGCAAACGGACCCGAAGCTCTACCTAATTGCCCAAAAGATCTAAATGCTCCCAATGCTTGCCCTTTTGGTATTGGATCATTCTTATGCTGTACCCTTTCACTATTATTACCTTCTTCTTGTTGCTCGTCATTATCATCACATTGCATTGAAGCTATTGATGTTAAACAATTTACCACAGTGGCAGAAGTAAAAGCCAAAAATGTAGCGCCAACGTAAAGCAGAGTTATGCCATCCGTCATTCTAGTTAATGAAGCTATAATGGCCAATCCTATTGAACATGATAAAATTCCTTGTACAACCAACCGTTTTTCTCCGATCTTATGTGCCTTACGTCTAACGTAGCCTCCTTGTATAAGAGCGGATAATATACCTATATACCCTAATAATTTACCATTTTGCATATTGGTAAAATCGAATAGATCAAATGTTAAAAATGTAAGAGTAAATTCCATTCCCGAGAAAAAGAACAAATAAAGGAAATGTATCCAATTTAATGTTTTTAAATTGGACCTTCTTTTTGATACTGAAAGTGAACTTTGCGATGATGACTCTAACGGTTGTTGTTTAATGGTTTCATTCCGGATAGTTGATTTGTGAGATATGCTTGCTGTTTCTGGCAATGATATGTATAAATAAAGTGTTTCTATGCTTAATAATATTAATGCTACAAGTGCCGGTGTTGAATATGGATTTAATCCCCATTCTACGAATTGTGGAAATAATTTTGCTAAATCTTTTGATGCAAAAAATGCTCCAAGTGCTGGTCCTATCGTAAATGATATCGCAAATGCTATTCCAACTAACGCCTATAATGTATGGATAAATTTTTTTTTTAAAAAAAATAAAGTGATGACATTAAATCGACAAGGCAATGATATACAATAAAACTGTTACAAACCAATCCCTTTGACCTAGATTTATGTGTTGTAACATCTGAAACAATCGCTATGGACAATTGTACATTTCCTTCACTTAATCCTCCAACTACACGAGCCAATACAAACCAACCAAATGATTTCGCGAATAACCAAATAAGAGTCGATAAAATATTACCGATCTAATTTTCAAAAGAAAAAAAAATTTTTACTTTTTTTAAAAAAAAAAAGCTCGTGATGAAAGAAGAAAAGAACGTACTTACCATAGTAACTAATAATGTAGTTCTTCTTCCGTATTTGTCAGAACATGCTCCAATAAATGGCGATGCGACAAATTGTAAAAAAGAATATAATGATCCTAACGCTCCACCTAATAATAGGGTTCCGAAAAATAGGATATTCAATATTCGTTTGTAAATAAACAAGTTTGTGATATTTTCAACCTAAATTTTTCTGATATTCGAATCATTTTACTTTCAGTAATGATATTATTCTTCTTAAGTGAAACTGAAATTGACGAAAATGATTCTTTATAATCGATGAAACCATCATTCATAATTGCCGAAATTATATTAAAAAATATAATTAGTTTATATTATTGATTGAAAAGCCCAATCTCTGACTATTTTAGATGATAGATCTAATGATTTTTGATATTCAGATCATTTTCAAACTTGTAAATAGTTGAAATTCAAATTGGATTGAATTTCAAATGGAAATCTTACCTAACAATACCAGATCCCATTTAGGATTTGTTCCTCCTCCTCCTATCATTTCCCTAAACATTTGTACATTTCTTAAAAACAAACTTAATATTGTACTCTGTCAGTATTTAGCAGCGAAATATGCAAATTGAAAGAGGAAAATTAGTTGAAAACAAATAGAATTAAACATATAAATACTAAGTAAGTGAAATTTACCTCATCGCCTTGTTCCATGTCACGATAAACTTGTAATAATCTAGGAAATAATGGTAGAATGATAGTAAAGGCTAATATATCAAGTAATAATGATATGAAGACTACCCGAATAGTCCTTGATACTAAAGCTGAAGGAATATTTTCATTACTTTTTGTTCCTGTAGATGCCATAATTGTTAAACAAAATGAAAATTTATTCGAGATGGTTTTTTATATCCCAGAAATTTATAAAAAAAAATTTCACACTCACGTGATCGGTAAACACGGAGGGTGTGAATCCGGTCATCGGATTGATCAGATGACCGGATCGCAAAAATGTAATCTTAGACTATATTGTATCTTAAAATCAATAAAAATTATAAGTACTGTATATACAATGACTCGAATTTTTTAATGATATTAGGTAGGGTTAGATGGTTAGATTAGTAAATATATTTTATCAACCGATGATACGATTTTGAGTTCGAACTTACATTCTATCAATAAAGTTTATTCAGACTTAAACGCGTTCAAATAATTAATGAAGTTTAATAAAAGTTTATTCCGAATCGTATATATATTCAATAAGTCTAATATAAACCTCTCCATAAAATCGTTCATTTTATTATCTCTTTCAAATATAATGTCTAACATTTACAAAATCATCGATAACCTTGATCTCGAACAAGCAGAAGCGAATAAATTAAAAATTTATCTAATCAAAAATCATGAAATGAAAGAAGAATTATTTTCAGCCCTTACAAGCTCCTATCAAACGAAAGAAGTTCAACAGAGTCTTATAAAAGATTTCTTCAATACTATACCTGGTATGTTGGATAAAATATTTGCCGTTACTGTTTGTGACGCTATCTATGAATAATCTCTTTATTGTTCCTTCACGTGATTTTGGATTTAAATGAACACAAGGTAAGCCTTTGCATCATAATGATTGGCCAACACGAACGTGACGTGTTAATCTTACGCTTTTTGAATTATGTTTTATATGCTAACTCGCTGTCTTTTTCTACAGGACAAAGATCTGGTAAGAATGCGCTGAATTGTTGCTTTAAATTAAAGCCAGTGTTTTCATATTTCTAACCTGTTTACAGTTGAACGAGAAATTACTGAATTTTGGAAACAACTTTCCAATGCAAAAATCATGTCTCGTTTGAAGAACAACAAAAATGACGTCTTTAATAACCTGAAAGAGTATGTTACAGTTGAGGATGATTATATCTATCTAAACATTGGTGTAACTGTTGACTCGAATGGTACATTATACCATAATGGAGCGACCACTAATTTGGAAATGCCGTCAAAGCTAATGAATACTCTGAAGCTGGTCTTGCCCAAAGATGTGTACTTTCTCGGGAAAGAACAAATGTATGGATCGATGGTCTTTATTCGTAGATATTATTTGGCATTAATCGAGTTAATTGAGGAAAATCGTCATGGACCAAATGATTCAGCCTACAGCGGTTGTACAATCACAGGCACGCCCGGTATCGGAAAAACTTTTTTTGCTTTATTTCTTTTTTTTTTACATCCGAAACAAATATCCTGGTTCCACAATAATTTGGAGGGCAGATAAAGTTACTTGCTATCAATTCTCGCCAGATGATAAAGTGAAACTGGGGGATCGTTACCAGTTTGAAGATATATTAAACAATCACAGTAACTTCTACCTTGTTGACGCACAAGTTCTAGAATTACAAAAAGCTTATACGCTTCATTTTACGTCACCAAAGAAAGAACGATATAATGAAGCCGTTAAATCACCAGGATTCACCACGTACTTTATGCCACTCTGGAATCAAGAAGAAATATTTGCACTTTGGTCTGAAGCATTCAAGGGTAAGAAGGATAGTAATGGCAAAGAATTCTCATATCAAACAGTTAAGGGCTTGCTGAATAAATGGGGTCCAATACCCCGGTCTGTACTTGCAAAGTGGAACGATGAATCATACCAGAATAAATTCAGTGAGTTGGTTGCTAAGGTTGATTTAGAAAAATGTATAGATTCGATAAACAATGATGGAATGCCCAAAGACGACTCTATAAGTGGAAAAATTATACACCTTGATGTGAATTCAAGTTTTACAAATGTGACATATCGCTTTGCTACTAATGAATTAGCTAGCAGGTTGATCGATGAATACGAAAGGAAAACCAGGAATAACATACGTAATTTCATTGTATGTGGTCGTGATTTCCTTGAGACTGCTTCATTTCGAGGACATCTTTTTGAAGATTATTCGCATAGGAAATTGTGTAAGGGAGGCAGTTTTAAAGTTCGATGTTTGAAAGAGAATGATAATACTGTAATTACTGAAAAAAATATCACTGAGCGTAAAAATAACTTCTACACTACATTGGAAGATATTCATGAAGATTGCTACAACAGACCCAAGTCAAAGTCAAATATTTCGGTTGATTCTTTTGTATACAAAGATGATAATGCCTTGTGCTTGTATCAAATTACGATTTCGACAAATCATGGAATAAAGGTACAATAGGGTTAATTTTTTTTATATTTTGGTGCATTACTAACTCATGTTTTGTAGGTTCACGGATTAAGAGAAATCAGAAATTCTCTTGGGAAGCATAGAATCATTAATGTATATTTTGTTGTGCCATCAATGATATTTGAAAATTATCCCTTTCAAGACTATCAGACTGTCAGAGGAAAGAAGATGAAAAAACTTCCGAAATGGATTGACAATATAACTCAATATGCATTGGAGATTGATATGAAAGGATCGAAACCATATTAACGTCGTGCAGAATCTGTAGATTCATTAATAAAAAAGGTAAAAATATAACAGTAGTAATTAACACAATCTGGGATGTGATTACATAGTATTAAATAGCCAAGTAGTGCGAACTGTAGACTTTTTATTTACTTAATATGTACAATTCTTTATGAATGCGTGTGTGAAATTTTATAAATATGATAAATAAAAATGTAATTGTTTAGGTATTTCTTTCGCATTATTACTCTACAAAAACTCAATAAAGATCTTATTTCGAATTTTTTAACATGTACATGTATGTTTTACGAGTGATATTTTGCTTTTCTAATCTACTGCGCCTTCGTTTTTGATTAAAATGTATTGTCCTTTATTAATAAAAAACAATTACATATTTATTATTTATAATCTTATTATTATAAAGTTACAAGTTTATAAAATTATTCTTTTACAAGATAAAATACTTCTATTAATAATAAATTAATATCAATCAATTTCGTAGATTTCTGAACTATTTTTTAATTTTTCATTCTCGAGGTGCGATTCAGTCATGATCATCCGATCAAAATTCAAAATACTGATCAAAATACTGTATGTACGGATTGATCAATTATCCGTATAATCCGTTCAATCCAGTGAATATTATTGGTTTTTAATACAAGTTGATTAACCATATATCATTATAATGTTAATTAATCAATTTCTTAATTAGTAATTTATGCACAATAAAATTTTAAATGACCAATTGCTTATTTCTATATGAAGAATATAAATGCATTTATAATCATAATGAACACTTCTTTTATTTTTTAATCTATATATGCATGTTAAACCAAGAAAAACAATGAGTTGAAAGTGAAATCCTTATAATATTGATACTGAACCAGATAATCAAATCAAAAAGATGAAACTCATGAAGAAAGTAAAGTTAGAAGCTAGATTTGAAAATACTTGAATCCTGTTTTAAAAAAGAGTAATATATGTAGTTTGTAAAGTAAATACAGTAGATGCCTCTCATTATTCAAATAAATGACTTTGTTATGATATTTTCCTACATAAAACTTAAAATAAAGCTCATTTATATCGTTTATCTCCTATTTTTGATTACAAAAAAAGATATTAGACTATAATTATCATAGGCCTGCACATACTAAACACATAATAATATACCATTTCATATTCATCTATCATTTTTTTCAAAAAATTTAGGTAGAGTTTGTTATTTTAGTTGACATATAGAAATATACTATTTTCATTCATTTATATTTAAATACATTAGTTTTTTTATGGTTATCAAGTTAATAAATATGATATTGTGAAGGAATCTATAATATAAAAGATTTGTTAAATAATTAGATATCTTGAAAATAAAAAATTAACCTATACTTATATAATCATTTTACTATCTAACAAAAAGTAAAAAGTTTTGCTAATCTCTAGTTTATCAATATTACTAATTTATATTTATGAAATGCATCAGAAATATTGTATTCTCTAATAAACTATTAAAAGGATAAAGCAATAATTAATACAGAAATTTTTTCACTAGATTTGATACAAATTCTTAAAAAGAGAATAGTAAACTTATAAGATCGGTAGAGTACCATTCTGCTTGATTAGCCAGTATTCTATCACCAACTCTCGACATTAAGGTAGAAATAATACTTCAAGTCAGAAATTGACTAGTTTATCATATCTAAGTATTATCATTTCTTAGGAACGATCATACCTAAAGAACAATAGTTTTATCATTCCTAAGGGATAATACATTTATTATTCCTAAAGAATGATAGTATTATCATTCTTTAGATATGACAATTTTATCATTTTTAAGGTACGATGATATCTTTATAAAGAATGAAAAGAAATCTTTTTAGTTTTAAAAAAATCTGAAAAGTTGTTTCTTTTTAATGAATGAACCTTTTCAATTCTATAAAAGGTCTGAATATTCATTTCTTTTAATGAAAAAAACTTTTCAACTCTAAAAGATCTGAAAAATCATTCTTTTCAATAAAGAAAACAGATTTTGACTTTAAAAAAGGTTTGAAAAATTGTTCTTTTAATAAAAGAAACTTTTTTGACTTTAAAAAGAAATCTGAAAAGTTATTTTTTTTTAATAAAAGAAACCTTTTTGACTCTAAAAAAGATTTGAAAAGTCATTCTTTTTCAATGAAAAGAATCTTTTAACTCTAAGAAAAGTCTGAAAATTTGTTTCTTTTTAATAAAAAGAATTTTTTAGTTCTAAAGAGATCTGAAAATTTGTCCTTTTCAATAAAAGAAATCTTTTTAGCTTTAAAAAAAGATTTAATAATTCATTTCTTTTTAATAAAAGAAACCTTTTCAACTCTAAAAAAGATCTAATAATTTATTCTTTTTCAATAAAAGGAAACAAATTTTCAATCTAAAATTCAGCTTAAAAGATATTTAAAAATTTATTTCTTTTTAATAAAAGGAAGTTTTCAACTTTAAAAATATCTGAAAATTTGTTCCTTTTTAATGAAAGAAAACAATTTTTGGCTTTAAAAATAGGCCTAAAAACTTATTCTTTTTCAATAAAAAGAAACTTTTCAGCTTTAAAAAAAAGTTAAATCTGATGAATCAAATATGAATTTATATAGAATACTAGTTAATTGTCATTTTTAAGGGTGTCTAAAGTTGTATTCAATCACATGATTTTTTCAACTAGTAATTCAGAATCTGAATATACAAAGGGTAGACAAAAGTATCTGCACACTTTTTCACTCAATATAAAACTTATAATTTTTTTGCATTAACAATAAACAGTCAATTAATATTTTATTTAAAACTGATTAAGATCTACATTTTGTACTAAATAACTAGTATTTAGTTATGCTACTATTTGCTGTAATCACAGCTTGAATTCATTGTGGCATACTATCGACTAAGTTTTGATAGTATGCTTCAGAATTTTTTGTCAAGCCTTTTTAACATATCAGTCAAATTAGATAGAAATTTTTATAAGCTTAGATGCTTTTCTTGACTTCAGTCTAAAGATTCTCAATTGGATTAAGATTGAGACTTAGAGCTGACCAAGATAATGTATAAAGATTATTTTTTTGCTTAAAATTCATTGCAGTTAATTCTTTAGTTTTTACCATTTTTTTTATATTTTTGGAGAAGAAAAATTTGTTAAAAAAAATAAATTGTTATTCTTTTATTTTTATAATATAAATAAACACTTAAATATCATGTAAACGCAATTTATTATTGTGATCATATGAATTTACTAGCATTAATTTATGTTATGGAAGGTATGCAGATACTTTATCTACCCTCTGTATTATGTAAAGTAAAATAGTATTTCATTTTTAAAAATAATGTTACATTTTAAAATAGCATTACATTTTTTTAACAAATTTTTTTTTTCATTTTATAGAAGTTTCTCTTTAATAAAATTTTTTTCTAATGAAATCTTTTAATTAATAAATGTAATAAAATTTGTTTAATGCTTTTTTTAATAAAATTTTATATTATATATGACAAATAATATAAATTTTCAGTACTATTAAATTATAAAAAATATGTTTATTTGAAATAAAAGTTGAATCTAGATATCTTTATAATTATTTAAAATAAATACTAAATGAATTTTTAATTTTCTAATAAATATATCAGTTTGTTTTGCATTACCCTTCTCTTTGATCCTCTAGTATATATTATATATTCTTTTTATTAATGCATTTACAAATTGTCATTTATTTACTATTGCATTCTCAACTTCAGTTAATCTTAGTATTAGTATATCCAAATTAATTCACAATGCATATATATCTCAAACCTAGATTTATCAAACATTTACTAAAATTGATTTCATGTATCAAGTATTAACAGCTTCATATTATCATATATATTTTCAAAAATATGTAGTGGCAAATTAATAGTACTGATAAAAAAATAAATAATTGCAAGTTAAAGATATAAGTCCTAGTACTGCTTTTCTTTTTCTATTTATTCTTCAATAGCATAACATTCACTAATAAGCATTTGTTAAATAGGAAATAAGAATTTGTAAATTTCATGAAGAATTTTATCATTAACACTAATAGCTGAATTTTTTTTAATGTAAAATTCATAAGCAATACATTTTGAATTAAAATATTTTTTTTCATCAAGTGCAACTATTTTTTAGCACGCATCTGATCAAAAACTTAATTAGAATAAACTTTTGAATTAAAAATATATAAATTCAAAAGCTATTACTAATTAAACTATATTTTAGAGAGATTATTCTTTTTAATTCACTGTAATATGACTCTAAAGCATTTGTTAAGATAATTTGTAAAAGAAGAGAAAAATGCTATCACATACAAAATGCCTATTGATACATATTTTTTTGTATAGTTTCTTAAGATGTACTTCTTAATAGTTAGATTTGAGCATTCATTGATTACTTCTTGAATAAGATTTTCACAACTGATCTTAGTCTTTTTGTATATAGTATTGACTATTTTTTGTCAAGTCTTTTTTTTATAAATTTTACTTATCTAGATATGTATAATATGCACTGTACAAAAAATGATATTACATTTTTATTCACTATTCTTAAGATCTAAAAAAGTCATTTTGATGACATTAGACTCTATATTACTTTGGTCAGAAAGAAAATACCTTAAATTCTATCAATGAACAAACTGTCTAATTATTTTTAAATCTCTTATAATAGTATTACTACCTTTATTACTTACAAAAAAGTGAGCTCTAACATCCTAATATCCATAATAATTACAAATATATAAGGTGAATAAATGATAATCATATCTATTAATCTTATATGTAAAATCTATAAGAGTTAGCAGCTATATTGCTTAAGATTTTTGAGATAATTAAAATGAATAAAAATGAAACTATAAGTAGACAGATCAAGAATTTCATAACATTTGACCAAATATCCTTGTTTTCTAAGAAAAAAATTATATCTCAAATATCTAATTCTCTTTTAGAATTACTAATAAGATATATATTAAAAGGTTCACGTATCTTATACTTTATATTTGTAATTTCCT